AGTCGTACTACGCGAAGCTGCTGGGGGAGCTGAACGAGCAGCGCAAGCGGGACTTCTTCTGCGACTGCAGCATCATCGTGGAGGGGCGCATCTTCAAAGCGCACAAAAACATCCTCTTCGCCAACAGCGGCTAACTCCAAAAAAAATTCCGAGCGCTGCTGATCCACTACATCCAGGACAGCGGGCGGCACAGCACCGCCTCGCTGGACATCGTCACCTCCGAGGCCTTCTCCGTCATCCTGGATTTCCTTTACTCCGGGAAGCTGGATCTCTGTGGGGAAAACGTTATTGAGGTGATGTCTGCGGCTAGCTATCTGCAGATGACCGATGTGGTCAACTTCTGCAAAACGTATATAAGGTCGTCGTTAGATATTTGCAGGAAAATAGAGAGAGAAGCTGCTTTCTATCAGGCGGATAGCGGGAGCGCTAGCTCTGCGAGAGAGGGCACCTCGTACAGCTCAAAGAGCCAGTGCTCTGCCTCTGTCTCTTCCCTGCAGGAAAAGGGAAGGATTTTGGATTGCCAGAGAGATCCTCCCTGCGGCGAGTGCAGCAGCTGCCATCCCCTGGAGCTTGTGGTCAGAGACCCCTTGGGCAGCGGTTCTCCGGATGACGTTAATTCTTCGCTGCCCAAGGTGGTGGAACCCAAAGTCGAGTTTGACGCCGATGAAGTAGAGGTGGAAGTGGGCGAACGGCTGGCGCCGGATCCGACCCTCGAGCAGATGGAAGAGGGGCTGCACGGTGGGCAGGCGATGGACCTGGCCTGCAATAACTATCACATGAAACAATTCCTAGAGGCCCTGTTGCGCAACAGCTCAGCTCAGAGAAAGGATGACGTGGTTCATCACTTTGTCCGGGGCTTTGAGGGTAGGACAGAGGATGCAGGGGTAGCCATGAGTTCCATGATGGACATTCACAGCGACTGGTATGGTGAGGACACAGGTGAGAGGACTCCGGGGGGGTGTAGTCTGTGTAATCGAGGAGGAAAACGCTTAGTTGTGCGACTTCCTTTGTTACTCTAGTTCTTGTTCAGGAATACATTGCTGAATATTATGCCGTAGCAAAATAAACTATTGTTCTGGACTTCAAAAGAAAGCTGTACTCGTTTATTCAGTGCAGCGTTCGAGAGGTAAGTATTTGGGAACAGCTTTTACAGTCCCTTTGAAACAGATCCTGGAGCTTGGTGTTGGTGACGCTGCTTTAATAAACAATCTCACTTGGGACCTTGTTGAATGGCAGGTGAATTTTTAAAAAGAATCTTCCTCTGATAATGTTAGTGGTGTAAAGAGCAGTCAGAAGGAGAAGTTGAGCTGCCACAAGAGGGATCTGCTGTAGAACCTGGCAGACCAGGCATAGCTCATACCACTGGAGCTCCTGCCAGCCTGTCAGTTCTGGATGATAGCCTGTTTGGCAGATATCAATTTTATTCGATACTGAGTGATACCTGGGACTTCTTTAAGAGCGCTGAAAGCTGTAAACTCTGTGGTGTTGCACAAAGACCAGACTTAACTTTTACCTCTAGAGGCAGACTTGCTTTTCAGCTGCTGTCACCTGAGGTTCCGCTGCCTTCCCAAGCCCAGCGTCTGTCGGCATGTCTCATGCTGGCGGGAATGTCTCCTAGCAGCGGTGTCAGGGATCTGGAGAAGAAGGAGGTCGTGTCCATATACGTTTCTCCTGAAGTGGACAAGGATTTCGTCATTTTATCTGCTTACTGTAATGGGGGCACACGACTTGCCTCGTCCAAACAGCCCTACGGAGACGGGAGGTGGCCCCGACAAACACTGCAAGTGCCATCGTTGTTTGGGACATGACAGATGCAATAATGGTGTGGGCAACAGATGGGAAATCTTTCGCTGAGTGTTCTACTCCAGATAGCAAGCTGGCATTCATGTCGTTTCCAGATCAAGCCAATAAACTCAATGTTATCTCCCACTGCTTTAGAATAAGGAATCTGATGAAATCACAAACCCAGTCTTCCAGTCACCAAAGACTAAAGTTACCGGAACAGAGTGCTGTCACCAGATCATGCCTATGGTTTTTGACATATAGCAAGGCAAGAGCATCTAACACACAAACTTTGCTTACTTTTTTTCCTCTTAAATTCAGGCTGTTAATGGATCACTGAAAGGGAAACGCTTCTAGAATTTCATAGAGAACATCAGGTGTTACAGCAACGTATTAGAAATGTTAATGGTAGATGTGCCTTGAATAGGAGTGGAGGTAAACCCCCCAAATTTTGCATTCTGTTATGTTTCTCTGCTAAAACTGAACATTGTAAGCATTTAGTAGGATGGAAGTATCTCTTCTCAGCTTTCAGTGGTCCCGCTATCTTAGCGTTTTCACAAGACACCAGGAATGAGAAATGGAAAGGCCTGATAAGAGAATGGTTCTTTCGTGCATTCAGGCTGACAAATGAGGTAAATGCCACTTACCTGCAAGTGTCCACATCTGTTCCAGTCATCCTGCTCCCCTTCACAGCTGATGGGCGGTAAACGGGCACCTCTGGAGAGCCTGGAAGCGAGGCAGGTCTAAGAACTGCTTTTCTTTTTTTTTTTTTTTTCTTTGAAACAGAGCTCTAAAGGGATTAGCAATACCTTGTGAAGGTCCAAAATTGGGTAAGAAGAACTTCACTCCATAATCAGACGTTAATACTAGGCACTCCTTTTTTTGAGGCTGAGTTGGACACACCTTAGTATGAGGAATGTTCTACAGCCCCACCTACTTTGGTGTGACTGTTCAAGAGCTCAAGGCTTGATACGCAAATGCTTCCCTGAATCAGTACCTGAAACAGGGAAAACTAATCTTTTAGTTGAGTATAACATCTCAACCTTTACGCTGAAAAGGAAGCTCGTATCTGGGCTGATACTGGAAAACTTGGCAATACCCATGTTCATGCAAAAGGTGATCTTCAAATTTAATTCTCTCTTTTTGCATCTGACTTCATAAATGGCGTATTACTTGTGTGTGTATGGTCTGATTGTAGGAAAAGTAAAATACCATCAGCAAATGCATTGGAGTCCTTCCTCTTGTTATTTCCAACAGCAAGGCTAAAGTGAATGGCAGTAGAAACAAGCATTTGTATTTTTAGATGAGTTCCCCACATCTAAATTTATGCACATTGTAAAAGCACATGGGAAACATTGCACTACTTCTACCTGTAATTTATGTTAAAGATTTTAGTTTCTGGTGCTGTTTAACACTAATGGTATCTAAAAAAAAAAGAAAGTAGGAGACTTTGTGTGGCTGAGAGAGTGCAGAGACTCCACTGCACTAATAGCAAATTTTTTGGCACTTAATTAAATTTGTTTTTCTGTTGTGAGCCAACTCCCTGAGAATATCAGCTATGTAAGTATAGGTGAGCTGATTTTCAAGGGACTTGATCATCTGCAGCTTCGTGAATGCCTTCTGAAATTGTGTGACCTGCAGAAATTCCAGGTAAGGCAAATACAAAGAGAGGGAAAAGTCAAGTTATCTTGGCTCAGATTTGCAGCCAGGAGGATAAGAAGCCGACATGGCTAACGTTGGTGAACTGCCTAACCTAATGCACTGTGTTTTTCTTCCAAAAGGTGATGTGTTAGTTGTGCCAATCAAGCTTCACAAATGCCCGTTCTGCCCCTACACGGCTAAGCAGAAAGGAATACTGAAGCGGCACATTCGCTCTCACACAGGTGAGAGACCCTACCCCTGTGAGACGTGTGGGAAACGTTTCACTCGGCAGGAACACCTTCGGAGTCATGCCTTAAGTGTAAGTTTGAAAGATTATACCTATCAGGAAATTTTAAAAAGCTTTTGGCATTTCCCGATCGTATTTCCCAACATACGTTGGACAAAATGATTGTTGCCAATGTGAGAGAAACTTTTCTAATAATAAGTTTAAGCCACTGATGCTTGGTTCATTAGTACTTGTGTAGCTCCAAATCCTTGTCCATGGAAACGTGATGGGGTCATCTGCCCTTTAGCTTAAAGGAATTAATTCTATTTCTTTAGATATCAGGAAGAATTTCTTTCCAGAGAGGGTTGTGAAGTATTGGAACAGGCTGCCCAGGGAGGTGGTGGAGTCCCCATCCCTGGAGGTGTTTAAAAACCGTGTGGATTTGGTGTTGAGGAACATGGTTTAGGGACCCTGACAGTGCAGGGTGAATGGTTGGACTCGATGATCTTGAAGGTCTCTTCCAACCAGACGATTCTATGATTAAGCACAGATGTTTTTCTGTTCTAGGAATAGATGCAACCCAGCACCCCAGAAGGAGCTAAAGCAAGAAGACATGTTGCCTTTTTTACCGTAATGTTTTGTTTTTAACTTCAGGTGCATCGATCAAACAAGCCAATTATCTGTAAAGGTTGCAGGAGGACGTTCACCAGTAGCCTGTCTCAAGGATTACGCCGCTTTGGCTTGTGCGACAGCTGCACTTGCGTGACCACTACCCACGAGGACTCGATGCCCATTAACCTCAGCTTAATGGAACCTTCATCAGAAGGCCAGGAGAAAGGTGATGCCGATAACGATTGGCCCATCTATGTGGAGTCTGGGGAGGAAAACGATCCCGCTGATGATGATGATGCTGATGGTGATGACAAGCAGGAAATCCACAGGAGCTTATCAGACCGAGAAACACTTATGTAGCAGCGAGAGGAGAGTGGGAGCGTTGAAAGTGTCTCCCTGACAGCGGTCGGTCTGCAACAGAAAACTGCGTATTTGCCCCATTAGTGAGACTCTGCTGGTTTCTATTATTCTGTTTTTTAATAGAAGAGTGGGGAGAATTGGAATTTTTAATACTTTTAAGTTTTCAGTGCTGTGCACCAGAAATCTGTGAAGAATCTTCTCTCTGGGGTTCACAGAGGTTGTACTTGAGCAATTCCCAGTGGTGTCTCTGCCTACGAGTTTTGGTTTTGCAGGTGGAACATCTCTGTTTTGTTTTGATAACAGGTTTCTTCAAATAATGCTGTCGTGGTCCTTAATCCTGATCCGAAAGGGGCACCGTCTTTTCTCTGAAGGTTACATTAAAAGAAATGCAGTTTTCATCCACTACCTTGGGACTTTTCTGAACTAAGTTGTGATCCTTTTGTATGAGGACAGTATTCTCTAAATTGTAAACCTTAAGTATTTGCTTAGACTGGCTTTGACCTGGAAACCAGGGCAGACAAGCCAGGATAACAAAAATATGCTGCTGCTGCAAACATAGACAGTAAGAATAAATATATTTCACATGTCCTTAATTGCAGGTATTTAGGGAACGAGCTTCTCTTTCTGAATAGTTTTTACTGCATCTTCCTCTCTCAAGAGCTCGGACTACAGATCTTCAGATGTGTCTTTAATGTCATTTAGACATTCGTAGTCTTGGCTCAAGAAATACGAAGCACACATGGTGTCTAGTGTCCTGGTCTCTAAGTTGAGGCCAAGTGAACTGCCCAGTTCTCTTCAGCTTTTCACAGTACAAGTTGAAAGCTGTCCATCAGGTTACTTGGGAATTCTGATTCTGGTGGATTAAATAGCCAGGTTTACAGCTGGTGTAGCTGAGGAGCAGTTAAATATCAATATCTGAGCTATGCATATAAACCAGCTCTGAATACCCTTTTTGAAGCAATTGGGTAGGAGATCTCAGAAATTTTTACTAGCCTTTTTGTATGCAAATCCTTTTTTACTGTATTTTCTTTTAGTCGTTGGCGATCCTTCTCATGGTTTATGTTGTCATGTGAATTTATCTTTTCCTTTTTTTTAAAAAAAAAACACCTCCAATGTGAACCTCCTGTGTCTTTGCTGGGAGAGATGAAAGCTGGCTTTCAAAGGAGGTGAGATTTTTTACCTTTCCAGTACCAAGTTGATGTAAACTATCTAAAATCAAGCTGGGAAGCTTTAGAAGAAAGTGCACCACCAACAGAAAGCCTGTTTGATTCTGGGTAACCTACTGTTTCCTAATGAAGAGACAAAACTGAAATATACTGTGAAATAAGACTGTTAATGCTTCTTTACTATGTTGTGCTTAAGTGTTTCATGAAAAGGCAAATTGTAAACGAGTCTTCCTAGCTGGAGTAAGTGCTAGATGAGGAGCCTGTAGACAGGCATGGCTGGCAAAGAAAGAGCAGTTCCTCCCACTTAACAAGGCAGTGCTTCTTGAGGTTTGTAGGGTAAAGGAAGACTTTACACTTGGCAAACATTAGATGGGACCTAAAAAGCAAAGAGCCCTCTGATTTAACCAGTTGGGTTTTTTTTTTCATACCTTGTGCTTTTATTTTACATGCTGCCTACAAACAAGTCAGCTTCTCTATCTGCTTCATCTACGTCTATAGTGATGTTGCAGTTTACTTGTGAGAGGTGATTCTGAAGTCAAAAATGCAGTTAAGAATTCACTGGCAGATGAGGAAAGAAGAAACAAGCTTCTTTTTAAACAAGTCACTTTGCTAGTGATTCCTGAAAACAGCAGAAGGTGGAGAGACTTGTTTTGAAATGTGTCTCTTGTTCTTGATAAGCGCCAGCTTCGCCAGAAGATACTGGCATCGTTTGCTACTTTTATTTTCTGTAACTGAAGTTGCACGAGCTTTCAGGAGTCCCTGTTCCAGGTCATCTGTAAATTTGAGTTTGTAATAGCTGAACAGTATCGTGGTGCTACACATCGGCGTAGAAAACTCTGACTGGGACAAGATCTTTAAAAAATTCAGGGCTCTAAAGCCCCTGTTTTAGTCATCTAAATTAAGACCGTCAAAGAGACAACTCATGGAGGTGCCAGGTTTGGAGCTGAGCTCCCTTGAAAATCCTGCTGTGGTTTTGGGTCCTTAGTGCTTTCGAAAATCTGAGCGAAACGTGGGCGTGTAAATCATACCAGCACGTTGGGAAGTGCCACTCCAGCCTACTGGCACGAGTCTTTTGGGCTATTTCTGTTGAGTACATCCAACATTGGAAGGTTTTTTTTTTTGTATCTGCTTTTCTGATAAAGGAAGGACTTCTGCGTGTGAGAACACCTGAAAGAGAGTCACGATATCTGTGTTTCTTAGGAGACTAATTTGCTGATGAAAGTGGGGTAAGAATGTAAATAGGAATCCAAAATGATATTCAGTGACCAGGCATCCCAATTTCTGGTCACTCTAGGATGAAAATGCCACTTCGTTGTAAATATTGGTAGAGGCCACTAGACTTGGAATATCAGCTGAGCGTGGCTCTGGCTAGTCGGCCACAATTAAATCACCGGAAGATTTGGCTTCTCCCATGGCTGAGCTGTGCTGAGGTGTGGGCCAGCTGACTCTGGAACTGTGACGACGTTCCGAGTAGGGAAAATTAACCTCTTGTGAAAGTCTGTGTGTAGTAAGAGCTGCAGGAATGACTGCAGAGACCTTCAGCGATGCTACTTCAACCCGTTTTCTTTGGTCTTAGAGATTGTTCTTGTGTGTCTTGTGCGTAGAGAATGGAGTCTGTGTAGCGCTGGGTGAGGGGTGCGGGTGGGGGGTACGCCGTTCACATTCCGGGTGGAAAATAACCACCGAAATCGATGTTTCCTGTTGATCTGTCATTGTGCTGCTTTGTTTTCAGTGGAGTCCTTCAGCCTTGGTATTTAGAAGAGGATGTAGTTTACCCACGTTCTTGTGACCAGATGTTCATGTAAACCTGTTCCACCTAGTCTTTGGATGTTTTTCCTGAAATCTTCCACGGTAGATCCAGCCTCTACAAGCTTTGAGAAAACGATGTAGCTGGTTCAAAATATTCATATGGTGCTTAATGAAGAATCAAAAATAATGTTTTTAGGGAAGTTATTTCTATCTAATCTCTTTCTCAAAGTTTTTTAAAGGCCATGCAGACTACATGTCCTGAAGTCTTAGCTCTGCGTAAGTGACTTAGTTTAGGAGTATACGTTTTCACGTACTTTTGCACAGAATTTTACTGTATTTCAGTGAAAACATGGAAGGAATACATGCTGCGCTGGTATTCGTAACGCGTTTAACCTCTTGGTGCAAGACCTTGTAAATGTTCCAAATGTGGTCATTTAGTTTACTGATGTTTTGTAAGGAAGTTTCATAACCCAAGTCCTTTAGTCTAGTTTGAATGACAAATTCTTATAAACTGAACCTTATTTGTAGAAGTGACTTAACTATATTTGTGGATCTTGGAGCGTTCTGGAGCTTTTTGATTGTCTAGAAAATAAAACTCTCTGAGAGGGTTGCTTTGATTTTTTTTTTTTTTACTGTTCAGAAGTTGACTGAGTAAACCTGAGAGTGTCTAGATTAAGGCTCACATTTCAATTTCTGGGAATTAAAAATTAATATATCCATTTCTGGCAACAGACACTTTGCAAGCAAGAATCAGATTCTTGGTAGGAAAGGATTAAAAGGATGCTGTCAACTTAAAACCCAGCCAGCTGGGTGGTTTTTTTTAAGAAAAGCTTTTATATTATGAACACTGACTTTGTTTCCTTACCAGTTTTTGTAGTTTTATAATCATCTTAACTTTTTAAACTCTTTTAAAGCTTTTCATTTTTCATCCTGGGTGAGAAAAATCCATGCAACTGGGAAGCAGTCCCTGATCCTAGCGAGGAGAAAACGCTGTCAAATGCCTACAGTAAAGTGCAGGGGGGTGGGGGGAACAGACTCTCGAATATTCTTTCTAGGCAATTTCAATTATATTGCGTATTTCACAAAGAAGCTTTTTTAAACCTGCTTTTACAGCCCATGATATTTAAAACCTGTGTTTACCTGTTGATTTAGAATCTCCTGAATCAATGAAAACTGCAATAACCCCGTACGTCTTCTCACTGTTTTCATTCAAACAGTGAAATCTGTCCGCTTTTATTTTATTGGGATCTTTAGACGTTTTACATTTCAGAAGTGCCTGGGAATTATTAATATTTCAAAACTTGTTTATTATTGGGGTTTTTTAAAAAATCATCAAAACATTTTTGTTAGAATTAACGATTTTTTGGATCCAACTTAAGTTGACAGTGCCCTTTAACGTGCATGTAAAAATTGCATTTCATCTCTTAAAGGCCACTGTTAACATGTCAACCAAATAATTGAAGGCAGTCTGGGTTTTGCCTTTTGTTAGATTGTTTGAAATGCAGATTTTCTACACATCTAGAGATATTAGTAGCATGTATGAGAATATAAAGGGCAGGAAGTTGTTAAAACCTTGCCAGCAGCTCCATTTATCCACGTACGTGTGGTGTGTGTGCCCACACAGAGCTGCTTTTAGGTCTGGCATCCCAGTTAGGATGTCACCATCTCTGCCATGTAGGTCAGCGGAGCACTTTTAGTAAAACACAACCAGTGAGTGTAGCAACTTCTTTGTTTTCCATTAAATAGTTACAGGCAGCTATCTGGATACTAGTAAATTAAAAAGAAGAAAAAAAAAATAATTTCAAAACAAAACACTCAACCTCCCCAAAAAAATCCCTCTCAAAACAATGTGCTGTACACAGAAACTTTAAACAGTCCCCAAATCTCCAAAGGCAACATGTGAGGCTTTAGATTGCCAGTCAAGATGCAAAATATTTTAGCTGTCAATAGATACAACTCCGTGCTTCTTACGTGCTTTTCGCATAACCAGCTGAGATGTCTGTGAGTGTACGTGTCAGGGTAGAGGAGAGAAAAACAAATTGAACCAAAGTTGAGAATTAATATGCATTAATATGTATTAATATG